ATAACTAAGGCTTAAGTGCTTAAGTAGTAATACATAAATTTTTTATGTTCTGATGTGTGGCCTCACTTCAACCGAGTTAGGGTTAATGGGGTTATGAAGGCTAGGTGTAAGTACTGTCGTAAATCCCTTGGTGGGGAAACAAGTAATGGAACTTCACACCTAAGAAGCCATATCAAAACATGTATCCAAAAGAGGATACATGATGGTTCTCAAAAAATACTTGGCCCTAACTATCAACCTGCTGGAAATCCTCAACTCTCTACTTCTCAATACAATTATGAGGTTTCTAGGAAGGAACTTTGTTCAATGATTCTGGTCCATGAGTACCCCCTTAGCCTTGTTGATCATGTGGGTTTCAAACGTTTTTGTTGTTCTCTTCAACCTCAATTCGCTGTTCCTAGTAGAAACACTGTCAAGAAGGACATTTTGAGTTTGTTTGGTGTTGAAAGAGCTAAATATCAGACCATTATTGATGGTAACCTGGGGAGGGTTTCAATTACAACTGATTTGTGGACTGCCAGAAATCAGAAAAGGGGTTATATGGCAGTAACTGGTCACTTCATTGATAACTCTTGGAAGCTCCGTAACATAATGATGAGATTTATGTATGTTCCGGCCCCTCACAATAGTAAAAGGCTTGCTGATAGGTTGTTTGATTGTCTTTTGGATTGGAACATTGATGGTAAGTTGTCCTCATTCACATTGGACAACTGTACCACCAATGATTCCATGATTTTCCACATGAGAAATAAGCTTCTGAGCAGTGACTTGTTGCTTGATGGTAAATTGGTTCATATGAGGTGTTCTGCTCATATTCTGAATTTGATTGTAAGGGATGGTTTGGATGCAATCAAGGATGCTATAAATCTGATTAGGGAGAGTGTAGTTTACTGGAATTCTACACCTAAGAGGGTTCAAACCTTCTTCGAAGTTGCTAAGCAACTTAAGCTGTCTGTTGAGAGAAAATTAGTCCTTGATTGTCCAACTAGGTGGAATTCCACCTATCATATGCTCTCTGTTGCTATTCCCTACAAGGATGTGTTCTTTCGTTTGAGTTTGAGAGACAATCATTACACTTCAGTTCCTTCTAGTGAACAATGGGAATTTGCTTCTACTGTGATTAGGAAGCTGGAAATCTTTTCTGAGATTACTGAGTTGTTCTCTGGTTCCAAATATCCGACTGCCAATCTGTTTTTCCCCAAGATTTGTGACCTCAGACTTAAACTGAATGAGTGGGGTGTTGATCCCAATCCTGTGATTTTTGGAATGGCTAGTCAAATGTCACTGAAGTTTGATAAGTACTGGGATGATATCCATCTTGTGCTTGCTGTATTGGTTGTTTTGGATCCTAGATATAAACTCCATGTGATTGAATACTATGCTGGAAAGTTTGGGAATACAGAAACTGATTTGGTTGCTGAGAATATCAAGCAAATGATATGTGGTTTGATTCGTGATTATCAAACCAAAGCTGAGAACAAATCTGGTTCTCAAACTGGAACTTCTTCTTCTGGTTCTGGATCTGCTTCTGCCAGTGAACTTGACTTTGAACTCTTTGTAAGTCAAAGGAAAAAGAGTAAGACTTCCTTGATTACAACTGAGTTGGATATGTATCTTGCTGAGGATATCATTCCTCGCACAACAGAGTTTGATATGCTCTTGTGGTGGAAATTGAATGGTTTGAAGTATCCGACCTTGCAATCAATTGCAAGGGACTTTCTGGCAATCCCTATTACTTCTGTGCCTTCTAAGAGTGCATTTAGTTCTGGTGGGAGGTTGTTAGACCCTCACCGGAGCAAGCTGCATTATTCGACTGTGGAGGCAATGATGTGTACTAGGAGTTGGATAATGGAGGACATGCAACGAGGTAACATGCAACTAAAACTCTCAAGTTTATTGGTTTAAGTTTTAACAATAGTATCAACTCATTCAACTGGTTTTGTGCAGATTCAGAGGCTGCTGCAGAGGCATTGGAGGGACTCTTCTCGGCAATGACAGTGGAAGATACAAGTGTGGAAGAGGCAGAACCTGGTGGTAAGCTCAATAGATAATTTTTCCAAAGTGTGTTCTATTAGTTCTTTGTATTATTTCATTGAGGAATACTTACATTTGCATTGTTTCGCTATTTCAGGTCCAGAACTCACCTTAATGAGATCAACTTTTGCCCATGAAGACTGATTGGTAATCTACTGTGGGACCAAGGTAAATGTCTTCTTTATTTGTTGTCGTTGATGAATGAGTTTTATGCATTTAGTCTTTACTAACTGATTCATTCCTCTTGTGTGTTCTTTACACAGTTTCAATTGATGTCTGCTGGTCTGCTGGTTTACATCGATTGGAATGAGGGTCAGGGGTGGTCGGGTGGATTATTGCTCAATGATTCGATGCTGCTGGAACCTGGAATCCTGGATGGAATGTTGCTGCGCTGCTGTTGCTTGCAGCTTTTCATTCTACTGTTTTTGGAAAAGAATTAGACATTTAGAATTTAGAGTCGGCTGATACTTTTTGGTTGTTGGTTCATTTGATCATTTCTATCACAAACATGGAACAAATGTTGTTTTTGGTGTTGTTGCTTGCTGAGCTGCTGGCATAGTGGCGTTAATTGCAGCTTGGCAAGCTTTCGTTGGTTTATTTCAAGTCTTTTTTGACAGATCAGTGACAGTCAGTATGAATAAAGTGTCCAGTTTTCCAGATTTTTTGTCATTTTTAATTTTATTTTTCATGTTTGTAGCGGGTATAATGGTCCTGCGGGCACCCGATTACCCATTGGGGATGGGGATGGTTATCCAGCCAAGCTCGCAAGTCCGTTTGGGCCGGGGACGGGGAAACCCGAGGCCCATGGTGGGTGGGCAACGGATCCAGGGTACCCGGCCCCGATCCGCCCCGTTGCCAAGCCTATCTCTTAGGGGTCGTTTGGAAGTTGTGATTGTTAAATAGATGTATTGTTGAGAATGCATGTATAATATTATACATGTATTGTCGAATTTGATGCATTGTAGAATACAACGTTTGGTATGTGTGATTGTGTATGTCGCATCAGCTAAAAGCTGAGACAAAACAATCTCAACTCAACTATCTCAACAATCACAACTAAAAGTTGAGATATAACAATCACTCAAAATGAGTGATAGTTTCTGTCACATCATAGAAACAATCCACGTATTGTTTCTGCTAAAAAAACAAAAAAACGATGCATTGTAAACAATACATGCATAATGACATTCTCAACAAAACAATCACAACTTCCAAACGACCCCTAAGTTTCACAAAAATTTCTCAACTTTTAGAACAAGTTGAAACAAGTACCCTGGCTTCATAAAAAAGCTGAAACAAGTATCCCCGAGGGAAATTTATCGAGCAAGTCCTATCCCTGTAGTCCTAGGATGACAAAATAACCTACCACGGTAGGTATCCAACTGATATTATCTTTGAGTGAGTTTTCCTCGAAATTCGATATAGATGGTAATGAATTTAGTGTGATTTTTATATTTTAAGTATCAACACTGAACTCATCCGAATATGTGTTATCCTATATTCTAAACTCATTCATCCGAATTTGTGTTTTGTTCGGGGTTGGTGTTCTGTTCGGGGTGCCTTTGAATAGGTCTGGGAGGGTGGTGAGTTTGCTCGGGACTGCTTTTGCTCCTCTTTTCCGATTCGTTTGTTTTTGTTTTGTTGGGGGTTGCTTCCCCTGGTTTTGTTTAGCTGCTGTATTTGAACTCGTTGGGTCGGTAGTCTGCACTCCTTGTGCGGCTCTCTGACTCCTTTTCTCCTTTCTTCTTTTTATATGCAATTTTCACCTTCATCAAAAAACATTATATATAATTATTTCTCAGGCTTTAAATCTTATTCATTTTCTCTCAGTTTTACAAAAAATGTAACAAAAAAAAAACTTCATTTACATTGACATAATCCGAACATTTTAGATTATATATAAAATTTTACGCATGATTGTTCGGAGATGAGACGACTGAGTTTTCCTCAAACCACATAACTGTTTTGGTATGCCATATTACATCACTGCATAATTTTAATTCCGAGAATAATTATAGTTCGGAAATTGTTTATATGAAAACCTGTATCACCCAAATCGATTGCCATTCTTATACAGCGCCCGTAGTTTCGGTAAGAGTTGTTAAAACCGGCTGAAGAACATACCATACATATCCCACCAAGGGGTCATTCTTTATGCTGGAAAAGGAAAGTCAACCACCCCATCCCAATTTGTTAAAGTCACAATAAAGATACAGAACGAGAAGAATGACTATCCAACCCAACCAACAGGCATGTGTTAATCGTGTAAAATTCTACCATTTCCATAGAAGAAGCTCAAAACCCAAACCCAAAGCATGCATTATGCTTAAAGCCACCAACATAATAATTGAGTTGATTTAGGCTGTCTGCCACTTTTGGTCAAGAAAGTAACTAATTAGTGAGTGAAGTTACTATTTGTAACGTCCCATCAATTAATAACAAGTCTCTTTCCAATGGCCATCGTGCGTTACGAGTACGACCCTTCACACTCAAGGAAAACCCTATTTAGCACGGAAATCACGATAAGGATAACGGTAACATCCCGAACCTTTTCTCGAACAAGATATTGTCCGTTTTGGGGTCTAGACCCTCACGATTTTTGACTTGGGGTGCAATTCAAGGAGACTTTTCATAAAATCACTCATCTTTGTTGAACTACACACTGAGCACGTTTAACTTCGAAGTCCTCACAAAAACTCATTTTCAACTCAAAACGCGTCTTGCCAGTTAATGTCTGTTTCTTACTTATAAACCATATATCTCTTCTGTACTTTTGTCGATGTGGAATTCGCTTAACATGTTACAATAATCGCCTATAATCTTACTCATAAGAACACATAATTTAACTTGAACTTTTGTTTGAATGAGCATGAGTCGCCTTCCCTCACTCTCTCCTCATCATAATAAGAAAAAAAAAACATATGCATCATATATCATTTATTATTAAGTTCCCATAATACATTGCATCAACCAATCAAACTCGGAAGGCGTCCGGCGTCCCACGGCTGAGAGAAGAAATCCTGACGGTTAACATGGTCTCTATTATATATCCCATCTTCCTTCGCAACCCAATACACGTTAAAATCGTAATCTACGACCTGATTCGACTCGTTGTACACGTCATACGCCACGTGGCGAAAACCGTCCGGTGCCAAGTAGCAGCGCCAGAGGGTTCGTTTGAATACACGTGGCTTGAACCTCCACTCGTACTCTTCCCCGGCGTTGACGTATTGGACACCCAAATCGTGTTGCAAGGAGTGACAGTGGGCGATCAGCGTCTTCCCGCCGTCCAGCTCGTTCACTATGTGGACGTGTTCGTAGGTCCAGAACCACGCCGACGACGGCGGGATGATGACCAGTAGTATGGCCGCCGCCGCCGCCAGAACCGCCGGAAGTGCTACAATGATCCTTGTGGTCTGGCTTGTTGTCATGTTTTCTTTTGGGTTTCAGGTTTGATGTTTATGTTAAAGTGTAGTCTAAGGGATATATATATATATATATATATATATATATATATATATATATATATATATATATATATATATATGGGAATTAGTTCAAGATATCATGTAAACAAAATTTATATACTTACCTAAAATGAGTTTAAGGTAACCGTCCAAATAAAAGCATGGTATTAATACATGCTGTTATATTAATGATTCTTCCTTATTTGATATTTCTAACCATTTTTCTTTTGCAGCATATACTGGCGGAGTCAGGATTCGAAAGTACATGTGTCCTATTCTCAAAATATAAAAATATAAATAATAAATTAATTATATAATATTTATAATTAAAAGTAATAATATGCAAATTGTTTATTCATAGATAATAAAAAAATAACCGACTGGCTGCCAGTAAAGCTGAAGGATGCGGACTCTGGATTACTCTTTGGAGTGGCGGCATGGTACTTATGGAAGAGGAGGAATGAGATAATTTTCCAGAAGAAGCAGACAAGTGACCAGGTGCTTGGACAAAGAATCCGGAGCTGGGCAAATACAATAAAACAGGCGCAGGAAAATGATAAGCAGGTGCACCAAACGACCACCGCCAAAACCTTGAGGCAGTTACATTGGACTCCGCCGCTGACCGGTTGGGTATGCGTTAACACAGATGGTTCCGTCCGGCAACCAGAATCTAAGGCGGGGGCAGGTGGCCGGATCCGCGATGAGTTAGGAAGATGCAGAGGAGCGTTCACAGCCAACTTGGGAGTTTGCACGATTACTAGAGCTGAACTATTCGGAGCCATTCACGGGTTAAAGATGGCTTGGGATCAAGGACATAAAAAGGTTAAGCTTCTTCTCGATTCCGTTACGGCCATCAGGATTCTGAGTGCAGGAGAAAAACAAAACCATAGATATTACAACATCACCAGACAGTTTCAGGAGCTTATCAACAGAAACTGGGAGGTACAAATCTCTCATACATACAGGGAATGCAACAGAGCTGCAGACTTCCTTGCCAACAAGGGGCATGAGGTTAGCTTAGGAAACCATATTGTTATTTTTTTTGAACAATGGAAACCATATTGTTAGTAGTTCGGATTCAGGTCTTTCCTTTTGGATCTTGTATGACTCAATGGGCATCGCCCAAGATCGTTTAATTTAAGTGCCAGGCAAGGGTGCCCTTTTAGCACCCCATTTTCTACCCCAAAAAAAAAAAGAAATAACCGACTAATACAATCATTGCTTTCATAAACAACCACAACGCATTTTCAGATTATGAAAGAAACGCAAAATACATTAGTTGTGTACACTCTTAAGAAAATCTTTTTGAATGTATTCAAATAAACGTCATTAGCAAACTGATCGCCAATTAGACTTCGAAGTTTATTCTTAATATAGCTCAAAGCTGAAAATGTTCGTCCTACACATGTAGTTGCGATAGGTAGAATCAAAACTAACTTCAGAAGTAAATAAACTGACTAATATGACTTGAGAAAAAACGAATTGCCCGAGAGAGATTAAATTGATTAGAAATTTTGTTTATAGTGAATAAATTAATTTTAGGCAAAATACACTTTCATAACCATAACTTTCACGTTTGTGACAATAATAGCCATTTTTGGAGAAATACCAAATATAGCCACTTTCGTCTAATACTTTAACGGTGTCATCTAACAGGGTGACTGGACTAACAGCAACGGTTGACGTGGCATATTTTATTGGAAAATAATGAAATGTGGATATATTTAAAATTTTATCCTTAAATTTTAATTAAATTAAATAAAAATTGAAAAAAATATTAAAGTCAGTCCTCACTCCTCATCCACCGTCTATTCACCTTCCCCTCTTCAAAACTAGATTGTGGCCCGGCCGATTGGCCGGGTAGTTGTTTTTTCGTGAATTAATATTTTATTTTGTCAATTAACATACATTTAGATTTTCATATTTTGTAACAATGAATTAGTGTAAAATATCTTCATTTTAGTTAGAAAATTATTATTTAAATATTTAAAAATTGTCACAATTTAACAACTCTATGAAAATACCTAGAGACTAACTAAATGTGAAATTAAAATTTCAAGATAAAAATGTAGATTTCATCTTAAAATTATAAGATACTTTGTATTAAACTAAGCGGCGCATTGAAAATAAAAAAATAATATGATATTACTTAATGGATGAAGTTAATGAGAAAATAAAAAATTTCAAATAGGCTAAAGTTAAAAGGATATTCAAGGGAATTAGCTTCTTTAAATAAATAAAAGGAATTAGCTTGGACTTTCAAATGCTTTGATGGATAAATTATTGTGCACCCATGATATATGCCCTTTAATTGATAATCAGTTTTGTCTTCCTCTCTTTTTTTTTAACGAATTTCTCGTTCCTCTCTACCTTTTTTTGGTATAAAAATTGAAACTTATTATTCATTCCCAATTTTTATTGCCCTATCGAAGGCCCAATTTATATTAACCTATTGAAACGCCAATTCCTATTTGTAAAGGATGACATGCAAAACTCTATTCTACAAATCCCTATAAAACCTTAAGTTTAACCATACATCACAATTTCATATAACGACCCCAACTCTGGCAACTCATATAAGAAAGAGTTATAGGTGTAATATGTCCCTCTATTATGTAGTTTATCAAACATGTTCATCAACTATTCTTAACATCATATATTTTGGAAAAATGATCAAACATGTCATTCTGCTAAAATTTCCATTGGAAAAAATAAACTATGGTTGAACCGAGATTTAGATGACCCACATCGACAAATGAGAGGAAAAATGTAAGTTTCGACCTTGATTTATTTCTCTTATTAGGGATATTATAGTCATTTATGTCGCCCAAAATAAGGTTCGACCATGGTTGACGGTTTTTGGATGAAAATTTTAACATAAGGGTATTTTTTATCATTTTTTCAAAGTAGAGGGGCATGTTTGATGTAAAAAATAGTAGTGGGACATGTTTGATAAAACTGCCTAGTAGAGAAGCATATTATACCTATAAGGTTGTATTCCATGTAGGGCTGGGCATGCGGGCGGATCATCCGCGGGTTTGGGCCGACCCACCCGCATTTGACCCGAATTTCGTTAAGTGGGTGGGTCTGTGGGTGGGTGACGGGTTGCGCTGGGAGCCATCCGTCGGGTGGTGGGTGGGTTGTGGGTGAGTGTGCGGGTGACCCGCTCAACCCAACAGCAAAAAAATCAAAGTCGTTGGCGTTAGAGAGAGGAGAGTGGAGACGTTAGATATAAACTCGGACTGCTCCTGGAGTTTGAACCTCAAAGCCAACCTTCCAAATAGAGATCCCCTCTTCTTCCCTTTACTTTTTCCTCTAATTCTTGTGCCTAGATCACCGTTCTTTCCTTTGTGGAATTATTTTCCTTAGTTCCTTTCACCTAATAATCGTCTCAATCTGTAGAAAACTCTTTCATAATAGAATTTTTGTCCAATTTAATAACTAATTCGACTAATTCGATGATTCTCTTCACCTATTATCATGTCAAGTTGACTCCTTTATATTATATGCATTGTGATGTGGGTGAACCCACAAACCCACCCGCATCATCCACCATCCGCCCGACCCAACCCGAGACTAAATGTGGGTGGGTGGTGGGTTAAAAATTATCAATCCGTTTAAGCGCGGGTGGGTGCATTTTATGGTCAAAATCCACCCGACCCACCCAATGCCCACCCCTAATTCCATGAAGATAAGAGGGGCAAACGGGTAATTTCGTGCCCCTTTTTCAATTACTATTTTTTTTACTGACACGAATTCAGAGGAGTGGGGAGAATTTCGACCAGTCAAATGCTACTTTTTATAATATTTGAGTTTTCTTAATTTGGTCATATATCATTCATTTTTACTCATAATTAAAAATATATATAGAATGAACGCATTAATTATGATTTACACAATAATATCCATTTTGTAATATTTTGAACAAAAAACAAATATTTTTTTAAAAAATACATGTTTTATGTAGTCTTATCACTAACATATAGTGACTTACCACTATGGTAAGATTGACTGCACTACAATATCCTTGTCATATAATGCTATTATCACCATTATCTTTACAATTATCATACCAATATTATACCACTATGATAAGAGTTCCTATTATCATCTCACCACTGTCATACCATAGTTTTACTACTATACCAAGATTGACAAAGCCTCATACCATAATATCATGATATGATAGTCATAAGACGATATAAAAAATTATGCTAAAAAAGATCAAATTGGATATTATCTTGTAGAGTACAAAAAGTTTGATCTTTCCAAGCAAATTTTTTGAAATTCGAAGTAAATTGAATTAGACATGATTCGTTGAATTTTTGTTGGAGATTTGAAAAGTGTTTTATTAGCATGCCTGAAAATTGTGCCAGCTCAAAAAATCAGGTTAATTAGTGGCGACAAAAAATCCAATCAATTGTCCCCAAAATCACTAATTATTTCTCTCATTATCCTTTTATGATATTTATTATTCGATCTCCTTTTCTTAAATTACAATCGTTAGATATAATTTTATAAATCTAAATATAGATACAGTTATGTAAATCTACATATACGATAAAATTTTGATCTAAAAGAAAAGATTAGGGCTTTTTTCAAGTTGAGTTTTTTTTTTTTTTTTGTTAGGGTAAGAAGGAGTCTTGGAAATATTAGTGCAAAGTTAATGAAAAATAGGAACCCTGCAACAAAAACAAAATATGCAAATAATAAATTTATTGTCCAGGTGGCTTCAAAAGATTGAATTCCCACAAAAATGATTTGTTTTTAGTTTAAGAAGTGGGTGAGTAGCCGTGGCCGCCCGTGGGCTTGTGCCTTGTAGAAAAGGAAAAGGAATATATGGCATTGTAAAATGAAAAGAAAGTAAGTGAGAGCGGAGGACGGTTTTTGGTGAAGAGGCTGGAGGTGATGACAAATTAATCCCTCCGAGTTGTGCGGTATGAACAGCACGGGCTGATGTGGCA